GCCACCGCTGCCGTGTCGGTCGCGCCAGACAAGCCTGCCGCTCTTCGCGCGAACTTGCGCGCGCTTTGCACGGCCGCAGCGGTGCGTCAGCCAGCGCCATGCATTCACCGCAATTGCCGCCGCCTGGGTTTTGCATACGAAGTTGCGGGTGGGTGTGTGGGATTGGCAAAGATGAGTTGCACCACGTAGACTGCGCCCACTACATCACATCTCCAGAGCGCAAGAAGCCACTATTTGGGTCCACACTGGGGAGCATGTTTCCGTTTATACGACTCGTGCTTTCAAGGGTTGGATGCGGCGCTTGCTCCCCCACGAAGCGTATTACCCGATTCCTGACGATGAAAGTTTGATCGGCACGGCCTTGTCTTGGACTTCCGATATTTTCGGACGCCTTTCAGTTCAATATTGGCGGCCTTCGTGGGGTTCAGTGGGGTTTCGAAGGCATCGTGGGAGTCCCTTGGGCTATTGCGGCGGCCTCCGTTGCCGTATTGGGACGGCTGCGAGGCACTTGGAGACATGTTTTGTTCCATCCCGACGTGATTTTGTTGGTGGCCGATCTCGGAGCCAGAGTGGGGAAACCTGAAGGCACGTAAAGCTTGTATCTGAAGCCGCTTTGGTTCAAACGCCACTTTGGCTGGGCACTTTGCCCCGATCGCCTCAGCCTGCTGCGCCCGCCAGTCCTTCCCCTCGCTCGAGCGCCATGTCTGGCATGCGTGGTGCAGGCATTGCCCGCAGGCTGCGACTGCCGACGGAGAATGCGCTGCTGGGGGTGTCGGGCCAAGGCTGGCGGGTGGACACGGTCGTCCGCCAGTCGCTCATCCCCGGGGCTGGCAACGGGCGCTTCACCGCGCAGAGCGTCCAGGCGAAGACGCCGATCTCCGTGAAGCCGATGGTCGAGATGGCGAAGGTTGGATGTCCGTTCATGTTAGCCTTGATTGGCGACATTGTAGTCGTTTTTTTTCTGCATGTTGACCGCATTTGGACCGCATTCGGCCCTTCCTCCTGCTCCTCCTCGACCTTCGTGTTCCCCCCCCCCCTCCTTGCTCTTCTCGTCTCTTCTGTGAAGAGGCGAGCCCGGTCCAAATCTGGTCCAAATCCTGTCCCGGATGTGTTCAAATCCAGTCCAAATTTGGCCCAATTCGGACGGCGTTGTGGGCCACGTAGTCTCCCATGGAACGGACACCAAGCGCAGGTTACCGCGCTCAGCGAGCTGCCTCCCGACCGCGTGCTCACCTTCTCCGGGCTGGACGACCTTGAGAAGTACGTCGTCCTGAGCGAGCAGGCGTCGACGGCGAAAGCTAGCACGAGGATAAACGTTCGGCGGTCCGCCCGGACTCCTCGGATCGGCGGTGGGCCCCCTTGGCGGCGCCGTCGGCGCCGCCCTTGGCGCGCTCCGCGCACCTGGGAGGGGGGTCCAGCGCAGATCCGAGAACTCTGCGCGGACCTGCAAACGTTGAACGTTTGATACCGTCATCCTTTCTTTCAGGAGGGCGGCGTCACTCGCGACAAGGTGCTGGACCTCTACTCCAACTTCGTCTGGAGCCTGGACGGCCGCCGCGCTTGCCTCAACATGTCCACCTGGTCGGTCAACCACGCGCACGAGATCTCGGACGGGCTGAACCTCGAGTTCGGGGAGAAGGTCGTGAGCGAAAAGCATATCCGTACCTAATACGACCACCCTTCGGGTGATAGAGAGGTTGAGGGGGGAAACCCACTGATGACAATTGCGATGATTGTGATTGACAACGCGTGTGATACCCGCACGAGTTGGCGACGATGCAAGACGACGATACTGGCGACAATGCATGACAGCGATGCTTACAACAATGCATCGACTTCATCGCAACCGATTTGGTTGCATTCGATTGGATGTCAAGGGATTGGATCGAGACGCCATCCTGACAACATCAGGACCCACAGGACACCACCGAGACCAGAAAGACACCATCCCGACAACATCCAGACACCATCGGGCCAGACAAATGCCACCACTACGTTTCGTCGGCGGGCGCGGGTCGGAAGTGAGAAGGGGCGGGCCTTCTCAGAAGGCTCGGGAGCCCCCCAGGCTCCTGAGAAGTGTTCCAAGCCTTCCCCGAGGTCAGAGAAGACTTCTCAGAAGGTCCGAGGGCTTCCGAGAAGTCCCGCCACTTTCTTACAAGGCCTTCTCCCTTTCGCTTCCCCCCTTGCTCGCCGCCGAAGTGTGCTGCGATGGTGGACTGCCGAATGTTCGTGAAAGGGTTAACGACTTCTGCCGTCATTCGACTCGCGCTGGAGCGGCCGCGAGTTGCTCCGACTTTCCCTGGAGATCTCTGGATTTACCCGGATGTACCTCGATTTACCTGGATGTGCTTGGATTTCCCTCGATTCATCTGCATTTCCCTGGATTGATCTGGCTTGAGCCCCACAAGTCGATTGGCGAACAGCCGGCAGCGCTTAGGGAATTGTGATGGTCGGCGGTTGATGGCGAGGCGGTGATGCCGACCTTTTCTGCGCTCGCGCCCTCGTCTCCAAGCGAACGGCGCGCCGGTGGCCCGAGCCGGCCTCGGAGGGTCGGCCGGGGGGCGGCGCCGACGGCGTACGTACAGCGGAGGCCCATGCCAAACAGCACCCCAGGGCTCATTTCGGTTTTGTCCGAGTCGATTCGATTTGGTTCTGGTGGCTTCCGGTTCCGATTCGATTTGTCTTCGGATTCCGATGCTGGTTCCGTTTCCTTCTTGGAGGCGTATTAGCCTTCTGATTTCTGCCGATTCATTTTTTCCCGTCTCGGCTGCCGATTCCCGCCGATCCGATGCACGTCGATCTCCGATCCGACTGGTCGACTCGATCCTGGGCTCTGTTGGCACCCTGCTCGCCTCCAGCGTGCCCTGGGCCTCGTTGGTTTCGGTGGCTCTGCTAATTATGGAGCGCGCGACGTCCCCACACCAAACATCGATGGACGTCCTGGGGTCTCAGGGTCGGGTATCTCGTGGAAGTTTCCCTGTGCTCCTCCTCCTCCTCCTCCTCCTCCTCGAGCTCCTGCTGCAGCAGCGGCCTGCGCGCTTGGCTTTGGCCCCCTCGCTCCCCCCAGGAGCCGCGCACCAGAGGTCACTCTTGCCCCAGGGTCGAGCGCTTGCGTCTGGCCGACCCCTGCCGCCGCAGTCGGGACGGCCTCCGCCCGAGAGCTCGCAGTGCTTCGGTGCGTCGGCGCCCTTGCACCCCCCCCTTCGGTCAAGCAGTGGCGAAGCGTCCTGGCTCGCCTATGGCCCTACCAGACAGTGTTCTAAGAACCTTTTTGTGGTTTCCACGAAATGCTCTTTGAACATTTCTGGCTGGGATCGTCTTGTTTTATCACATCGGGTTTTTATGTTCTCAGAACATGTTTGGGCTCTAAGAACATGTCGTGGCAGGACTACAGGAATGCCGGGACGGTCGGTCCCTGCTCCAATGAGGGAGCTGCCCTCGGGGTCGTCTGAGGGAGGCAGCAGGTCTTCAGAGGCACCTCCGACCCCGCCCTGGCGAGCGCGCGGCCCGCAGGACTCGCGCCAGCGGTCTGGCAAACGCTCCCTGCAGGGAAAGACGCGCAGCAGGACGCGCCAGGCGTCGGTCTTTCCAGGCCCCGCGGCGGGGGCTGGAAGCAGGCCGTGTTTGTCCAGACCTGGTCCTCCATCGGCTTCGTGCGCTGGTTGCGGTGGAGCTCGAATTCCAAGGGCTTGTGCGGGAGCCCATCCGCGTAAACTTGCACACTTTGGTCCATGCGATGGTCCCCAAGGTTCCCCGTTGCGGCTCTGGACGTCTACCAGGCCGCGCGGTTCGCCGAGGGTGTCAGGCGCCAGGCCTTAAGTCGGGCCTGTCCCTCTACAGGAGGAATATTCAAAAATAGTTGAAAAACAAATGGGGATGACTTCTGGAGTATGTTCGGTCATTATTGAGGAGAGTTTTTGGCCTATTCCAAAATCCGCCTGTAGGGGGACACGGCCGACCTAAGTCAGGCCTCCCAGAGCTGCTTGCCAGTCATGGTGCGTTCTGGAGCGAACTCCGCGAAACCCGCCGTAGGTTTCTCGCCGCACTCGAAACGCCAGTGCAGCTTCCGCGACACCCAGTAATTACCTCTTTGCGTCGCTGGCAGAGCCTGGCAGCGACAGGCCGGGCGGTCCGCCTGCGGTTTCTTGCAGAGCTCGCCGCCGATCTTGTCCGCCATCGGCGGAGAAGCGCGAACTGCGTGGTCGGTCGAAATCTCATGGCGCCAACAGCGCAGAGCGGATTTCGTTCGGAAAACAATTGGATGGGCTCGGATTGTCCTGGAGAATATCGTTGCGGATTTCGATGCAAATTTTGTGCGAATTGTTTTGGGCCAAGAATGAAGAGTACAACAGTTCCACGTGAACGTCACTTCGTTTTTGGCTCGCCGTTTCGGGACTTTGCGTTGACACAAATCCACGCAACGAATCGCTGCAGCACGTCTGGAAGGCTGGTGGCGCAGTGAGACAATTGATGATGATGCTGATGATGATGCTGCTGCTGATGATGATGCAGATGACGATGCTGATGTTGTTGCTGATGTTGACGATGATGATAATGTTGACGATGGTGTTGTTGATGATGATGTTGCTGATGTTGGTTATGATGTTGTTGTTGATAATGATGGTGATGATGATGATGGTGATGATGTTGCTGATGATGCTGCTGATAATGATGATGTTGCTGGTGAGGATGACGATGATAATGGTGATGATGTTGCTAATGATGGTCATGGTTGTGCTGGTGATGATGACGATGATGCTGATGATGATGATGCTGCTGATGCTGATGATGATGCTGCTGCTGATGCTGATGATGCTGATTATGACGATGATGTTGGCGATGGTACTGCTGTTCTGTATCGGCGATGCCAGAATGAAGATGACCACTGTGCTGGTGATGGTACCAAATTCCGGTCAACTTTTTCGATCGTACCCCCCCGAGTTTCATTATCGATCTCACCAGCGATCCTCGAAACCATCTGGACACGATCGCGGCACCATCGGAGCACCATCACACCATCGGGACAACCATCCGGACGCCATCGGAGCAACATCGGGACACCATCGGGACACCGCATCAAAATCACCAGGACACCAGCGGGACACCAACCGAAACACCAACCGGGACACCACGGGGACAGCATACCGCACCATCCGGACACCAATCAGGACACCAATCGGGACACCACCGGGGCTTATCGAGACACTATCGACACTCCATCAGAGATTATCGGGACACCAATCGGGACCCCGCGGGACACCACGGGACCACCATGGGGACCCCACGGCGGGACACCCCCGGCTCCCTCCCGCCACGCGGTAGGGGGGGGGGGCGGACTTCTGTCCTCGTCGCGCCCTGGCCAGAGGAGGCTTCATCCCTCTCGCCCGCCCCCCCAGCTTCGCCTCTCCTGCGCGCGCGACACGAAACCGGAACCGATTTCCCGGTAGGGGGCTATCCGTTCTATCGCGACCTCACCTCTCCGATCCTCGGCCTCGCGGAACGGGCCTCGCGCTCGGTTTTCACAGGGTTGCGGGGGCAGCTTCCGACCTTCGGCCTGGCGGGCCGGGCTCTTGGGCCGCGACCCCGCGGATACGGGTTTTCGCGGATGCCCCACGCGGCACCTAGCAGTGCGACCGCGTGTATCCGCGGGACTGCGCCCCGGAATCCCGACCGTGAGGGCGCGGATGCGGATGTGTTCGCCGCTCGTGAGAAGGAGCCGATGCCGCCGCCGCTGCCTTTTGGGAGCCTTTTGGTTGCGGTCTCCGGGGGGTCCTCGTCGCCACGGCTGCATTTGGCTGGAAATCTCGGTCAGAACGCACCCCAGGAGAAGTTTGGGGACTACAGCGGGGGTCCATGCCCAGAAGCACCCTGCTTCCCTCCAGGGTGCCCTGGGTGTCTTGGGTTTCGAGGGTTTTGCAATGGACAGCGTGACGCTCCCACACGAAACATCGATGGACGTCTTGGGGTCTCGGGATTGGGTTTCTTGTGGAGGGTTTCTTGTGGACTGGCCTCCGCTGTAGTGGTATCGGTATCCGTCGGTCTCCCTGGAAAGGAAATGCCAGACGGCGGCGTCGCCATGGTCGGCACCTCCCTTGTGGACCTGGGACCGGGTGTGGAGCTGCGGAACGACTACAGGAAGTTCAACCTGCCCGAGTTTTACTTGAAGTATTGCGACGACCACGGCTTCAAGGACGTGCGTTCGATCGTGATGGAAGCGATCGAGCAGGAGTGAGGGTCCACTTCGCCCGTCAGTCATCACTCGGTGCCCAGCGCACCATTTTAAAATCCAGTCGTCGTGGGGATGACTGTCCGCACAAGCCATGACGCAGCAGTGGAGCTGTTCGTATGCGTCAAAATGCACTCGCAAGACAATCGTCGCGAGGTGCCAATACCAATACTCCTTTGAATCCCCCCCCCGTCCTCTTGTTGAGGATGCATGGCTCAATTTTGAAATAGAGTATCTCTCTTGAAATAAGACGAGAATAGACCGATCTCCAGAGTCATCGCTTCTCGCACCTGTGCAAAAATGCTCCTGAGGCCAAGTCGAGGCCGACGTGGCGATGGATGGCAGAACATCTAATCATTGATTGGCTGTCCATATCTCATGTGGCTGACGTCACGCCGGCCGATGCCACCCCCATCTGTTAGACTGCGGTTTTGCCGTGCAGGGGTCGACCAAGAAAACCGTGTAAGCAACGTCGAGGATTTCTTATTCATGGTTTTGCCGATCGCCACGGGCCCTCGCACCCCCCCCCCTCCCCTCCCCCCCCCATGGCGTAGACCGTGGCTGTTTCGGGCGCCTGTTTCAAGCAGGTGGAGCCTCCCCCATAGGACGCACTGCTGCAAAGAGTCGCATGAAGCAGAGGTCCGGGGCCAGACGCCCCCCATCCCTCCCCCCCCTCCGTCCGCCCGATGTCGAGACTCCGAGTAAGAAAACGCTCATAACAGGGTAGGTCATGAGGGAAAGAAACACACAGACACAATTAATCGTCGACTCCCCAGAAATTATGGGAAAGTGTGGGACTTGGGGGGGAAGACAAAAACCCAGAACATATGGAAAAATACGGGAATACTTCGATTAGTGTGTATTAATTTTGTGTGTCCCAGGGCTCCTTCAGTAGGAGACGAGGGGGCGGAGCAGGGATGCACACTCTGACGGCGGTGTCGTGCGCGAGTGCGCGGAGCCCGTCTCGGCCAAGCCTGCGCGGACCCCGTGTTTTTGGGGCCCGGCCCGCGTGTGGGGCTCGAGAGGGCGGCCTGCTCGGAGAGGCCGCGCGCTGTGGAGGTTGGGTGGCCTGCTCCTTCCTCCTCCCTCCCTCCCTCCCTCCCTCCCTCCCTCCCTCCCTCCCTCCCTCCCTGCCTCCTCCCTCCTCCCTCCTCCCTCCTCCCTCCTCGCTCGGCCGCCGACGCGAAGCCGGCCCCTCTGCGTCGAGGATCGGCGGCAAGCGAGGGGGAGAAGTGAGAAGGAGGAGGCCTTCCCGGAGGGCGGCGGGGCTTCTCAGAAGCCCCCGCGCCTCCTCGGAAGCTTTCGTCCGTCTTCGGGGAAGGCCTCCGAGGAGGCCCTCTCCTTCTCACTTCCCCCCCTCGCTCGCCGCCGAGAGGCGGTGGCCGCCGGCCGTGCCTGGAGCCCTGCGAACTGCCAGCGCGAGTGGGGCCCCTCTTAGGCCACCTCCTCCTCCTCCTCCTCCTCCTCCTCCTCCTCCTCCTCCTCCTCCTCCTCCTCCTCCTCATCATCATCATCATCATCATCATCATCATCATCATCATCATCATCATCCCGCGTGTGCTGGGCATGGCAGGGGTGGGGTGGGGAGGCGAGGCAGTGCCACGCCTTTCCCCTGCCCTGACTCTGGTTGACTCCAAAAGGGGGTCCAGCTGAAAGGGGGTGGTGCAAGAGATTGTCGGTAATTGTATTGCACATGTATTGAGCTCGAGAATTGAATTGCATTGTATTGCAACGAATGCCTTGCACACGAAACCAGCAATACATTTGCGCTCCCGATTGTATTGCACGCCCCAAATCGACTGCAACCCCGCAAATCTATTGCACCAGATCTATTGCACCACCCCCTTGTCGGTGGAACCCCTTTTGGGTCAACCAGATGACGGTTCCCGTCCGATACACAGTTGGGCGACGCAAGAAAACGGGATCGTTTGCGCCGACACTGGCGCGTAAGCTGCCCGCGTTAGGTCGCGCGTGGGCGGCTTGCTCTCCAAAGTGGCGTGCCGCGCCGGCGGCTCGCGCGAGCCACCGCGGAAGGTCGCTGTGCCACCCCGCGTAAGACCCGTCCTTGATCGTCGCTCAGGTGCCTCCCGACGTGGGGCAGGCAGGGGGTCTGAGGTGGCCCGGCGCTGGTCTGTTCGAGCAGGTGTTCTTTCTCTTCCGGCCCCTCGGTGCCGGTTTCGGGCCCGGGGACCGTCAAAAACGTATCTGGGGTGAGACATCGGGAGCGTAAAAGAGGGGGGTGATGCTTAGGGGGGGGGGGATTTCATGGCGCGGGCAATGATTTTCTCAGATTTCATGGCGCCTCTTCTTATTTCATTACGTCCCAGGCCCCCCCGCTGAGCCGCGCACATGCCGCCGGTCATGATTTGCACCCCTCCCTCTTGGACACCCCCCTCTTGGCCGCTCCCGAAGACACTGCACCAAATTCACCTTGGGCGGGCTCCGGGGTCGGGGGCCGACTTTGAGTGGATTTCTCCACAGCCCCTCCCGACGGATGTTCTCAGGGCCCGTCCAGTTCAGATCTCTGGGCCGCCTCCAACTGGCATTCAGTCTGGCAGGCCCCTCTACAGGAGGAATATTCAAAAACAGTCCACAAATGGTCTGACGACGTTTTTTAAATTTGATTTTGTAATCATTTTGGGGTACTCTATTTTCTCTGATTCGTTGACTAGCTTTCAGTCTCCGTCCCAATCCGCCTGTTGGGGGACATGCCCGACCTAACACTGGCAAGCACGAGTCACCGTTCGCCAGGGCGGCACCGGCCCGCCGCGCCGCGCGGCACCGCAGCAGCACGGCAGCGCGGAGCACCGCGCCCGTGCACCGAGCGGCGCAGGCCGGCGTGGCGAGGTGTTCCGGAGGCCGCCACGGATCGGGCGCGCACCCGTCGAAGAAGAACAAACTTTAATCAGGAGAGGAAAAAACACACAGACACAATTAATTCTCGATTCCCCAGAAAATATGGGAAAATATGGGAAGTGGGGGGGAAGACAGAAACCCAGAAAATATGGGGAATATGTTTATTTGTGTGTATTTATTTGTGTGTCCTGGGGCCCCTTCATTTAAGTCGGGCGTGTCCCTCTACAGGGGGAATATTCCAGAGTAGCCAAAAAATAGTCAGGGGACGATGTTTCGATTACTTCTGGCTACTTTTGAGCATTTTTGGTGTATTTTTTTATTTTTCGTCCAAAATCCTCCTGTAGGGGGACGTGCCCGACCTAAAACGAACTCGCCGATCGCGTTCCATTACTCTCGGGGGCCACGATAGGAGGGAATAGGCATAGGGGGGATGCATCGACCCCCAATCGCCCAGTGATCGCCGATAGAGGCCCGATGGCCCCACCCCGCCCAGGAAGGTGCGGATTCACTGTGGGGGGCCTATCGCCGATCTATCGGCGATGTATCGCCGATTCCAGGTCGGTGCAACCCCCCCTTTGCCTATCCCCCCCTATCGTTGCCCCTCATACTCGCAAAGTGCCTAGTCGCAAACGCTTGGAAAAAATGTATCGCAAATCCCCCATGGCGGGATCAGCGCTGGGCCCCCCTTGGCGGCGCCTCCGGCGCCGCCCCTGGCGCGCTCCGCGCGCCAGGGAAGGGGGTCCGGCGGGGATCCAAGAGATCCGCGCGGGCCGTGGAAAGTTCACGTTTACGCAAATGATTCTCCTTCTAACCCGTCCCCATCGTCGCACTCGGCAATGCGCAGCGGCGCCCAGCCGCGCGCAGCCGCGCGCGGGGGGCCCAGAGGGAGGAGGATCCTGCGGGGAAGCAGGAGGGCGGGGGGAGGATCGGGAGAGAGAAGGACGCGCGGGAGGAGAGGAGGAGGGAGGACAGGGGAGGAGTGTCAGGAGGGGGCGCCATGGGCGGTGCAAGGCTCGGGGGGGGGGCATGTGTCCATAACCATCGACTGGGGAATCGCTCTTCGGGGACCTCGGGAGGTGGTGGATGCGGATATGCTCGGGCTCCCCGTGGCCAAGTTGTATCCACATCGAAGTTGTCTGGGACGGTCGCGCATCTTATGTCAGGCTACCGGCCGAGCGTTGCCCACACAGCTCCTGACCTCGCGGTGAGCTGTTAGCCGAAGCAAGCGCGCCGTCAAAATGGATTAGGCCTTGGCCTTCAAACCGCCTTGCCTGGACTGCCAGGGCCTTCTTGTGTCGGGCATTGACAGAAGACCCCCAAGGCAAGTGGGCTGAGGAAGTCTGCACGGCTTCAGGCGACATGCATCGGCACTCGAGTGTGCCAGTGCAGTCCCCGTCGGCTTCGCTAATCGATGTGCGCTTCGCTGGACGCATCCGGTGGATGTTGGACGCCGATGAGCTGCCAGGCTGGGGGGGGTGCACTCGGAACGCGGCGGCGTGCGCACGTGGAGGGCCCCTGGCCGCTCTCACGAGAGCGCGCTGCACGAAAGGGGGTCTGTGTGTCGTATACCTGTTTGGAGGGTCGTCGCCTTCTACTCCTCCTCCTCCTCCTCCTCCTCCTCCTCCTGCTGCTGCTGCTGCTGCTGCTCCTCCTCCTCCTCCTCCTCCTCCTCCTCCTCCTCCTCCTCCTCCTCCTTCTCCTCCCCCTCCTCCTCCGCCCCCTCCTCATGCTTCTTCCGTCGGCTGGGCAGCCCCTCTGCGGTCAGCGGTCGCCGCGCTGGGCGCGTCTTCGACGCGCTCCTCATCGCCTTCTACTTTTCTGGCGTCCCCCCACCGCCGTCGGACTTCATGCCTCGGTTGGAGGCGAGCGCCTGATCTCCGAGAACGGCAGCGGGCCTGGCCCGCCCCCGACGGCGAGCTGCAGGGGCGCAGACCGTCCCAGGACTTCCCTGCAGCCCACCTCGCGGAAGCCCCCCCCCCCGGGCGCCCCCCAGGGGTCCGGTCCCCGCCCCCCGAGGTCTACAGGCCCTGGGCGCAGTGGGCTTGTGAGCGCCTCCGCCCGTCGGTCCCGGCTCCTGCTCGCTCCTCCCTCCATCCTCCTGCCTCCTCCCTCCTCCCTCCTTACCAGCCTGGAACATATCCCTATCCCTATGCTGGGCACCTCCTCATCACGATGCCAGTCTTAGGGATTCCCTTATTTTTGAGGGCGAGTCCCTAAGATTGTCATCGCCTTTTGGCGTATCAATCTTAGGGATAGGGGTACGTTCGAGGCCGGTAACCTCCTGCCTCCCTCCTCCCTCCTGGACTCCTCCCTCCTCCCCCCCAGGCCGTGCCCACGGCGCTCCGCGCCGAGCAGCCGCCGCCGCCGCCCTGGAGCCCGCTGCTGGCGTCCCTCTGCGCGGCCGTCGCCCTCGGCGGGGTCCCCCCGCCGCCCGCACTCGGGCCGCCCGCCAGGAGAGGGGGCCCAGGCCTCCAGGCCCCCTCCTCCCCCCTCCCTCCCTCCCCCTCCCTCCCCCTCCCTCCCTTCCTCTCTCCCTCCCTCCCTCCCTCCCTCCCTCCCCCTCCTCCTTTCCATCGTCCTCCTCCTCCTCCTCCTCCTCCTCCTCCTCCTCCTCCTCCTGCTCCTCCATCTCCTCCTCCTTCACCTCCTCCTCCTGCTGATGGGCCAATTTCCACCACCGCTACCACATTTAGGGCGGGGAGAAAAGAGGATGGGGAGGTCCTCAGCCTCCTCCTCTCCTCCTCCTCCTCCTCCTCCTCCCGCTCTCCCTCCTCCTCCTCCTCCTCCTCCTCCTCCTCCTCCTCCTCCTCCTCCTCCTCCTCCTCCTCGCCCTGACACAGTCAGATTGGGAAAGTCCCGTGGAAAGTCCTCCTCGCCGTCGCTGTTCTCATCCTGTTCGCTGCGTCCATCCGCAGCTTCGGCGGGCGTGGCAGGGTCCGCCCGAAGAAGGCCATGGGCGAAACTCGTGACCTTCAGGGCACGAGGGCCGAGTGACGCCCCTCTGGGAACAGTGGGAGACGCGGGCGGCACGGGAGGGCCTCCTGGTGAGGGTCCTCGGTTCCTTCCTCCTCTTCTCGTGTTCTCACTCAGGTCAGGGAGGTCGAAATACAATTATTTGGGCATCTGGGCCTCTTGGGGCCCGCTCGGGAGGCCTCTTGCGGGCCTCTTGGGGCCGTCTTGGAGGCCCTGGGCCGTCTGGGGACCATCTTGCGAGTCTTGGGCCGATCTCCGGGCGTATCGGGGCCCGCTTGGACCGTCTTCGGGGCCTCGTGGGGCCCTCCTGGTCCGACTTGGCGACTTGGGGCCCTCTTGGTACCAACAAATTCCTGGGGGAAGCCGCGGGGGAGCACAGAGGGCACGCGACAAGCCCTGGTGGATTTCAAAATTTGGGGTCGGGCCCCTTCAACCTTCAGGATTTCAGGTTGAGGCTCAGGGGATTGGGCAGAGGAACTGAGGACGTGCCCACTCCGTGCCCAGCGGCACGGTGGCGGACACTTGGCCAGAGGGTGGGGGAGAGGGGGGGTTCTGGGTCTGGACCGGTGTTTCGTCGATCTGCTCCTGCCAATCGCACAGCCAGGCTGACTGGACGCCCGAAATGGGTACGGAAAGAAGGGGTACAATGCCCAACATCAGTTCCTGATCATTTTGAACAGGATTCGCTGTCCACGCCGCCGCGGCCTGTCTGCATTCGAGACAGAGGGCCGCCTGCCCAACAGCGGCCGCTGCTGGTTTGGGACAACACTTGTTGTCGGGCACTGTACCCCTTCTTTCCGTACCCATTTCGGGCGTCCAAAGGCTGGGGGGAAGGGGTCCCGACCAATCGCCAGGAGTAGCCGCCAGAAGCCGCCAGGATCTGGTCTGTGGAGGTGGCGGGGCGGGGGGGGGAGGCCCGGGGGCCGCGCCGAGCGGCGACACAGCGAAGAAGGGCGCGGTGACCAAGCAGCGCGCGCGGAGTTCGCATGCTTCTTTTCTCAGGAGGGGAAAAACACATACACAATTAATCGTCGATTTTCCAGAAAATATGGGAACATATGGGAAGTGGGGGGGGGACAAAAACCAAGAAAATATTGGAAAATATGGGGAATCCTGTTATTTGTGTGTATGTATTTGTGTGTCCCAGGGCCCCTTCATCTATGACGTCCCGTGAGGGGTCCCGGGCGCCCGAAATGGGGAAAACCAAAAGGTACCGCTACCGCTACTGCCCAGACCTCTCCCGGGGTGCATTCGGACCAGAATCGCAAAGCGAACCCAGCGGTGGGGGCCAGGGCCTCCAGGGAGGCCCAGAAGGGGGAAAGCCAGGGAAGAGTATCGGTTTGGGTATACCCATTCTTGCTCCGAGAGATCGTCCCTAAATCGTGGCCCCCCCGTAGTGAGTCGTGTAGAGCTGTTGAGGGCCTGCTGCCGCAGGGGTGCCATTTCAATGCGTTGGATTTGGCGGCGCGCAGAGGGGGGCAGGGGGAGGCGGGAAGGCTTCTCAGAAGCACCCCTGCTTCTTAGAAGGCGCGGGCCTTGTCTACAAATGTAAGACCGGCGCCTTCTAAGAAGCAGCCACCTCCCCCTCCCCCCCTCTGCGCGCCGCCAATGGATGTTTGGTCACGGTATAGGCTCGCGCTGCGTCGGCGCCGTGACGGCCCCTTCCGTGGGCGGTCAGGGTTGAGCGCCGCCAGTGGCCCAGGACCGGCCTTTCCATTTGCTTGGCATCGTTCGGACGTGTGCATTTCTCCTTCGGCGAGGACCATCGAGGAGCATCCTTGATCATTTGGAGAAAAAGCCACGCACGAAATCAAAACAAGCACAGGGAATGGACGTCCGAGCGATGGCGAGTTTGAAGATCTGGCGATCAAACATCGGCGGCGAGCGAGGGGGGAAGTGAGAAGGAGAAGGCCTTTTCAGAAGGCGGCGGGGCTTCTCGGAAGCCCGCCTGCCTTCCGAGAAGTGTCCTGCGCCTTCGGGGAAGGCTCCGAGAACCTCTCAGAAGGCCGGGGGGGCTTTCGAGTCTTCCGAGGAGGCCTTCTCCTTATCAGTTCCCCCCTTTCGCTCGCCGCCGAACGAAAAGCCGCCGATGGTTCAAGGTTGATGAGCGATCCACACGGTGTCGGAAGCCATCGCCGGGGTCGTCAAGGCACGAGCCTGCCACAGGTCGGCCTCGGCCCGTCCCCCCCTGGATGCAGTTTCTGGGAGTTTCCAGTCAGCCTTGGCGCTGGTAGATCCGTCGCCGAAAACTGACCGAATACGGCTTAATCCGGCGTGGAGCCGCCAAAGCCGGCTTACTTCCGTTTGAGCTGGCCGCATCGGGTTGAAACTTTGGCCGAATCCGCGCCAAACTGGCTCAGTGGTCCTGAAACTGAGCACAGCCTTTGATCTGTGCTCGCGAAGACCTCCCAAGAGTTGCGTAGGTGTGCGGCTTTTTCATGGCACTTGAGCCGAGCATCGTTGCCACTGCAGTACGTGATTGCCCATACTTCGCATGAGTAGCTGCAAGTCTGCGTGCGTGTGCAGATTGCGTGAATCTGATGAGCGAGCCCCAGCCACCGAGGCTCCGCGATCCTCACCTGTGTCAGTCGCGTGGGTATGGCGAGCCACCAAAGTCTGAGCGCAGGCGGAGAAATGGGCGCAGTCACAGCTTGAGGGCTCTTTGTCGGCGGCAAGCGAGCGGGGGAAGCGAGAAGAAGGCCTTGTCAGAAGGCGGCGGGACTCCTCAGTAGTCCTCGCGACGTCTGAGAAGCGTCCCGCGTCTTCGGGGAAGGCTCCGCAAACTTTTCAGCAGGCCAGGGGACGTCCGCGCCTTCCGAGAAGGCCTCCTCCTTCTCGCTCCCCCCCCCTCGCTCGCCGCCGACTTTGGTTTTTCTGTGCACCTCGCAGGTCTTTGCCGGGCGGCTCCTGGAGCGGCACCTCGGCCAGCGCGGGCCACGCGGCCG